GTTGATTGATCCAACAAAAACCGTACAGAGAAGGCCATATCGTTTAAGTCCATGCGAGCGAGATTTGGTTAGGGACAAAATTAATGAACTGCTAAAATGCAATATAATTAGGCCAAGCTGCTCACCTTATGCAAGCCCTATGTTATTAGTGAAGAAAAAAAATGGTACGGACAGACTTTGTGTTGACTTTAGAGAGCTGAATTCAAATACGGTCGCTGATAAATACCCTTTACCACTTATACAAGATCAAATCAATAGGCTTGGGGGAGTTAATTACTTTACATGTCTAGACATGGCCAGCGGATATTACCAAATTCCTTTACATTCAGATTCTATCGAGTACACGGCGTTTGTGACTCCGGATGGTCAATACGAGTTCCTGTCCATGCCATTTGGGCTCAAAAACGCACCTTCCGTTTTTCAACGATTAGTAATACAGGCGCTAGGGGATCTAGCAAATTCCTTTGTCATCGTCTATATGGATGATATCATGATAGCCGCCTCAACAAAATGCGAGGCGCTAGAAAGATTACAGATCGTTCTAGATGTTTTGACAAAGGCTGGGTTTTCATTCAATCTTACAAAGTGCTCATTCATGAAAACATCGGTTCAATATTTGGGTTACAGTATAAGTGCGGGTGAGATTCGTCCAAACCCACAGAAAGTTGTAGCGTTGACTGCTCTTCCGCCTCCACAGTCAGTCACTTCACTTAGACAATTCATTGGGCTAGCATCCTATTTCCGACAGTTTATTAAGGGATTTTCACAATTAATGAAACCGTTATATTTCTTAACTGCAGATAAAAACAAATTTATTTGGAAAACAGAGCATGAACAGATACGGAAAAAGGTCATTGCCACTCTTACCGACAAACCAGTCCTTGTTATTTTTGACCCTTATTATCCAATCGAATTACACACAGACGCCAGTTGCAGTGGCTACGGTGCAATTTTATTACACAAAATTAATAACAAACCCCAGGTAATAGAATACTATAGCAAAACTACTTCACCGGCAGAATCAAGATATCACTCGTACGAGTTGGAAACCTTAGCTGTCGTGAACGCCATTAAGCATTTTCGACATTATTTGCTGGGCAGGAATTTTGTAGTTTATACTGACTGCAACTCGCTTAAGGCGTCGAGAAATAAACGAGATTTAACCACTAGAGTTCAGCGTTGGTGGGGTTATTTGCAGGCATTCACATTCGATATTCAGTATAGAGAAGGGAAAAGGATGGCACACGTTGACTTTTTATCAAGAAATCCCCTTTCACAAAAGTCTACTACAACCGCAAAAATAGTCGAAAAAAAAGAGTAAATTTAGCTGAAATTTCAAGCAACTGGCTTATTGCTGAACAACGTCGAGATTTGGACATAGTCGAAATTGTTAAAAATTTTAAAAACTTTTCTCTGCCTGAAGATATTGCGAAAACCTATGAATTAAGGGCAGAAGTTCTTCATAGAAAGATACAAAGAAATGGGAGAACACGTTGCTTACCAGTGGTGCCACGAGCTTTCAGATGGTCTGTCATAAATCAAGTGCATGAGTCCATAATGCATTTAGGTTTCGAAAAGACATTAGATAAAACTTACGATTTCTACTGGTTTGACAATATGTCAAAATACGTAAAAAATTTGTCGACAACTGCATCACTTGTAAAATGTCAAAATCCACTTCAGGAAAAATACAGGCGGAATTACATCCAATACCAAAAGTCACTATTCCTTGGCACACTATCCACATCGATATCACAGGAAAATTAAGTGGCAAGAGTGATCAGAAGGAGTATGTCATTGTTCAGATAGACGCGTTTACCAAATATGTCTATCTTAGTCATAGTCTTAAATTGGACAGTGAGAGTTGTATAAGGGCCGTTCAATCTGCCGTTTCATTGTTTGGAGTACCAAACCGAATAATAGCTGACCAGGGGAGGTGTTTTACAGGCGCAAAGTTCAATCAATTTTGTTCAGATCAAAAAATAAACTTGCATTTGATAGCCACTGGTGCAAGTCGAGCTAATGGTCAAGTGGAGCGAACTATGAGCACGTTGAAGAATATGTTAACGGCGGTTGAAACGGGAACACAGTCTTGGCAGGATGTGTTGGGAGAGGTGCAGTTGGCAATTAATTGTACAACCAATCGCACTACGAAAGCAAGTCCTTTAGAAATGTTATTGGGAAAGGTAGCACGCCCATTGGGATTACTTCCACCTAGTGATATAGAAAATGTTATTGATTTGCCAAACGTAAGAGCGCAAGCTGCAAAGAATGTATTAGCCAGTGCAGCTTATGATAAAGAACGATTTGATAGGAATAAGGCAAAAGTAAAAAGGCACAAAATAGGAGATTTCGTATTACTTAAGAGCGAAGAAAGACACCAGACTAAGCTAAGTCCAAAATTTAGGGGGCCTTTTGAAATAGTAAAAGTTCTGGAAGGTGACAGGTACATTTTAAAGTCTTTAACTAATAAAAGAAATTATAAATATGCACATGAGGATTTAAGAAAATTACCAGAGGGGCAAGTGCCCGAAGAGCTAAATGTGTACGATGATTATAATAATTTAGATGTAAGAAACGTAAACGCTACAGAAGAGAGTGAAAATGAAAATATTGATAATATTGAGAGTATTGAAGAAAAGAGTGAAAATGAAAATATTGAGAGTATTGAAGAAAAGCGTGAAAATGAAAATACTGAGAGTATTGAAGAAGAAAATGAAGTACACCAATAAGGGTGACAAAGTTGTACTGCTGGCCGATGAAAATGGCAGAGTACTGAGTCCATAAAATATAATGCAAGCACAAGTGCAAAACATATTGTTTGTTTTGATCATGGCGTGTGGGGTATTTGATTATGCGACTATAAGAGTGAATAATGAGGAAGAATGGATTATATAAAAGAAGAAGAAAAACAAAGAAATGTAAAGAAAGAAAGAAAATTGAATTGAATTGATGAAAATTATAGTTATGGAACTGAATACTGTTTTGTGAAACTGTCAATATGATAATTTGTTATGAATTAAGATAAGAAAATTGGATTTTGTTATGAAACTATTTAATGTTCAGTCTAATAATTAAAAGAAAGAAAGAAAATTCGAATGTTGCTATTTTCTACACGAGGTCGTGTTAGGGTCAGGATGGCCGTGTCGGCGAATGTATGTGTGTGTGTGTGCGAATACACATTTTCGTGTCCCAGAGTCCTCCAGGTTGCCAGGCAACCGTTGCTAGGATGTTGTCGCTTTGTAGCGAGGCGACAGCGTTGTGTCGCTGTCGCCGATCGAGGTCCGGTAGTATGCACAGGAGGTAGAGAATTAGACGCTGGCAGTTGCGTACCAGAACTCCAAGTGTGCACAAGGCTGGAACTCGTTGCGCCGCAATGGAAAACAAGAACAACAACATCGAACATGATTTGACATATATATATTCTTGGTCAGGATCACCTCCTGAGTTGATATGAGCATGTCCGTCTGCCTGTCCGTCTGTCTGTTTCTACGCGAACTAGTCTCTCAGTTTTAAAGCTATCGTCTTGAAACTTTGCACACACCCTTCTTTCCTTTGCACGCAGTATATAAGTCGGAACGGCCCGGATCGGCCGACTATATCCTATATGCCATATAACTGAAGGATCGGAATTGACCCAACTTTTGTGTTTTTGAAGATAGAAAGCTGGAACTTGGTACAGATTCTAGTTTTGGTTTGGTCAGTTCGTCTAACCTACCAAATGTCATTAGGATCGGCCAACTATATCCGATGTTTGCGATATATATCCGGTTTTAACTGCGAGGGTATATCAACTTCGGCTCCGACCGAAGTTAGCTTTCCTTTCTTGTTATACCAAATTTCATACCGATCGGAGGACTATATCTAATAGCTGCCATATAACTGAACGATCGGAAATGGTATTTGGTAGAAATACCAACTTTGGTATGTTTGAAGATAGAAGTTTGCGACTTTTTTCAGATTTTGTATTGTAATAAATTGGATTATATATTCATATTCTCATAAGGAGCGGCCAACTATATCCGATGTTTGCGATATATATCCGGTTTTAACTGCAAGGGTATATTCACTTCGGCTCCGCCCGAAGTTAGCTTTCCTTTCTTGTTTTTATAAAAATTTTTTTAAAAATTGAAAAATAATTCTTTTTCTTAATTATTATTATAAAAATTGAAAATAAGAGTGATAATTCAATTTTACCAATAGAAATTGAAATAAAAGTTTATTGTGTTTCTGGATTCACCGTTAAAAAATGGGATGTGTCCTTTTCCCACTCCTTACAAAGGCTTTTTGTCGTTCAAAATTTTTTTAAAAAGCTCAAAAAGTTCCGGAGTGCGCCGGCTATGGCAGCCTCCATGCTCGCATTTGTTCCATTTGTTCTGCCTGCATTTTATGTGGCTGTTGCTTGGTTTCTGATGGCGTTAAGAGCACTAGATCGAATAAATGCCCCCTACTGCTAGATGGTTGGGAATGTGGCTCAGGTTTTTAGTCTTGCTGAGCTTTCTGTCTTTCTACTTTGGTTTATAAAAGCTTCCTTTTGGAATTAATAATATTCTTAGGGAATTAATAATATTCCCACGGTTAACTAGCGGCGATATTTGTTCTTTTTATTTTCTTTATTTTTTGGTGGGGAATTCAGAAAAAGAGCCTACTCACATTTTTTATATTTATTTGTTGTTATCGCTGCGTATTTTATTTCCCATTTTGGTGCACTGCACACTGCATTTTAAAAATATGAAACAATCCTGAGGAAAAGCAGATTTTTTGTTTTGAAGAGATAATTAGCCCTGTTTTGAAAAGATAATTGCAATAAAAATTTTTTAAAGAGTTTCAAAGAGAGTCGAAGATAGACGGAATATGATTCGTTGTCTCTATTACATACTGAGGAGTACATACTCGAGGAGGACCTGGTATATCAAGTACTTTCTGTTACCGGATAACGCAAAGAATACCCACACGCCTTATTTAAGCCAGAAAGAAGACCAAAAAAAAACAAACATTGCTTAAAATTTGATTTAGGTACATTTAATTCAACTTTATTTTGATATTACTTTCACAAAACTCTTAAAATATAAAATATGTAATGTTTCCGAACAACATTGAAGATAATCCTTTACTTGATGTGGCTCTATATATAGGTATCTTAAACTTAAAAGCTAAATATAAGAACTGCGAGTGTGTAGTCAGAGCAACTCCAACTAAAATGTAGGACCTTTTCGCATTTTTAGTTAATCTCACAAACCAAAAATGTTATTGACTTTTTATTCATGTTATATATGTTGTATGTGTCATGTTATATCGTCCAGGTTATTCGTTTATTTTAGTTTTTTTCCTTTTCGCGTTATTAAAATGACATCTAATTTGTATTACTTAACATGTAATTATAACTATTTAATTATTACTATTTTTGCAACCATAAATCTTTGGGACATTCAACGGGTTTCTATTTAACGCATTTGTTTAAGTTATAATTTGCTATGCATTTAATCGTACTTTGTAAGATTCATTAATCTAGGTGATCACATTGAAATTTGGTTTTAAAAACGCTTGTAAGAGTTATATACTTTATAATATTTTTCATAAGTCTAGAATCTGCATATTTGAAACTAGGAAATTTGTTAAAAAATTTTAAATAGTCTTTAAAAATGTTTTAAAACAATTCATAAATTCGTGAAATGTTTTTATACTGTGACTTGAACTAAATTGTATTATTATAATCTTTGTACAAAAAAGCGTCAAAGGTGGAAAATAGTATTACAGAAACGAGAGTAATACTATTAATACGTTCGAAATCCAATAAATATACCAAGGTTAACGTAATGGTACGCATTTACACGGTATGATATACTCATATACTAAATATTTGTAAAGAGTAATATTTTTACATAAGAACAATCGAAGCAGTAATAATTAATACATATAATAGACAAATTGAATGGTCAATGTATATTTTCTCAAATGCTACTTTATTTTATTTAATGAATATCTTGTTAGGCTTTATTTTTCCCAATATTTTGGGGTTTTAAATTGTTATTGCAACAGTACAATTTAGCTGGTCATTTGCTAAAGGCTCTTGCTTAGAGCTAGACTTGTCTGATTTTACATTCTGTTCTCCTTTTTATTTTTCCCATTTATTTAAGACTATTTGAGGTCGTCGGTAAATTAATATCGGCAGTATTAGAGTCGGATTTTTTTATTTTGTCACAATAATCGTTAAAAATATCTCGAAAGCGAATCCAGCACTTTTCCGGTATAGTTATCGAAGTTCGAAAATTATTTTTTACCTAAAAAGTTAAACGAATCGCAATATATTTTAGTGAATATATTAAGTCACTTACTTCACTTATTCTCATATATACTCCTCTGTTATTTTGTCCGATGTCAAAATAAAAATTTTTATTATCCACTTTCATATGCCGCTCTTCTGGTAAGTCCCCTTTGAATCTGATCAAGAAATGTAGCTTTGATAAGTTATGTATATGATTATAGTAAAAAAGTATACATATATGACGCTTAAAAATTTAAAGACACATGTGTTCTTAAAATCTAAAATTTAAGAACATGCATTTGTTGTTTTCAAATTTTTATAATTTTTTTGGGTTTTTTTTTGTTTTGTTTTTTATATACAATAAATTTATTAAGTCTAATTTTAGTTTCTGAATTAACGAAAGCGGACATGTGGACATGACAAATTTAAGTTTTCGTTTTGAATTTGTTTCACTTTTTGAATAAAATTTTTTTGAATTTTAATGAAATGTAGTCTATGTTTCATTTAAAAATCACAAAATAATCATTTATCTCATTTATTTCTATCCTATCTATGGTATTAAAATCGTTAAAATGTAAGCATTTTAGAAATGATTTTTAGGGGAATTTGAAAACACGAAAACAGCTGATTGTTGTTTACATTTTTTGTTTAAATTTTTTCAGACACTTGTTATTAATTTGGATTTATGATCTTTAGTTGATTTCTTATTGTATGACCTGTAGTGTAATTTAAAATATATAAATTTATAAATGTCACTACTGTATTTGGACTCCGTCATTTCTCTTTGATTTGTCTTTGGAGTCGCTTTTCTTGGCAATGCAAGTGCTAACTTGCGCGCCAAAAAAAAATTTTTTTTCTGGTTTGTTTGGATTCTTGTAGTTTTTGGTTGTATGTATAAAAATACCATAAAAATCATTACATTGCTAGAGTGTGCATCCACAAGCTTCTTGCAGAACAACAAAAACTGAAAAGCTAACGGCATTTTAAATGACTCCGACTGGAATATACCCTGTTCCTACATATCTCAATATATTGATTTTTATTGATTCGTATCTTATTTCTAAATGAATATAAATTTTATGCTGAAATATTAAAAAATATAATACATATAACAAATAATATCATTTCTTTCGTCATTTCACCCACTAACGAATACCCGAATTTTCTTAGGAAGCCATGGCTTCGCACGCACACATTCATCCGTGTATGTGAATGTGACACGCATACATACAAAGATCAATCGAAGCGCAGACCAACTTTCCTTATGGTGGTCCTTTCAGAGATTGAAAAACAAAAAACATTTAATGAGAAGATGAATGAGCGTAAGATGAACGAAAGATGAGCTTAAGAAAGAGAACAAAATCTTTCTTAGGGGCTTGCTGGGGCCTGTCGCAAGAAATTTTTGAGTCCGTTTTCGTTGTATGAAATGGGTAGACTATATATGTATATGCTGTATGGTTAGTGATAATGTTTAGTGTACTACCGTGTCTTTTCTTTCCGTTCACATGTAATCCAAAGTGGCAAGAAATGACATCATTGCTATTGCCAGGACAAAATGCACTAAATCGCCATGACATTACAGCACGTGTTACCGAGAATATGAACGTAAGATGAACGAATAATGAGTGTAAGAAAGATCCACATAGGATCTCTCGAGTGGATATTCTTCCGCATGAAATTTTTGTTGATTCTCGGCCGCGTCTAATCTTCAAATTATAAAAATAAAAATAATAATTGAAGGTTTATTCTTTAATAAAACTGTTTTGTCATTGAGGGTTTTCAGTGACGTTAATTCCCAAAAATCCTCCAGAATAAGAGTTTGAATTTAATAAGTGCACTTTATAATTTATTTATTTTCCAGGCAGATGATCAAAAAATTGTGATAGACCAGTTTTAATGCTAAGCAGTGACTTATTGTAATGTACAGAGAGTGCGGCCCGACTAGACATAGCGAAGCTAAAGTTCTCGATAGCGGAGAGGGCGGCCCAGATGTAAATGCTCGTAGAGCTTCTTGGCGTTGTTGGTCAATTTTTCTACGTCTACGTTTTTCTAGATGTTCCCCTTGCGATTGTGATCTTCTGATCTTTGTACTCTTCTATATTTTAGAACTGTAGGATTGATAATTCGATTATTCAAATTGGCTCATTTGTATATTTTTGGCATTGCTGACTGTAAATCAGTTGTCACAGGGCCCTATTCCAAAGGTATATGAAATTTCTCTGCCGCACTTAAACACACACTAGAAATGTGCTAAATGTTACGCTCACAGCCTACACTCTTTTATTTGTTACTTTAAGTGGATCCACTTTGTAGAAGTATAATAAGATTAATTGATTTGGGCGTATTTTGCGGGCCAAGAATTTTTTTTTATTTGATATCAGCTGTTTTTATACCCTTGCAGAGGGTATTATAATTTGGTCCAAAAGTGTGCAACGCAGTGAAGGAGACCCAGGGTTTCCGGTTTCCGATAAAGTATATATATTCTTGATCAGGATCACCTCCTGTCAGAATAAGTCAGAATTTAATCAAGGTACTTATGCTTCGATGTTATTTATCAAATATTATTCACTGAACCTTCCATTTCTTGATGTTCTAAAAATATATTTCTACTATTTTGAATTAGGCGTAGAATACACAAAAACGAAGCTTTTTAGTTGAAATTTTAGACAGCCTTTCAATCGAAGTTAGTACTCGTTTTGCTAGCTTGAGAGTGCTGAATGAGCGCTTCGGATTTTCCTTTAACTTCAAAGAATATCTTGATGACGATAAACAAGTTTTGAATAGAAAACTATTGGAAGTTAACGATAAATGCTAATCATTAGCAGAAATGTATTCTAATGATTTAAATCAGAGGTCGGCACGGCCCTATCCCGAGGGCACAGGAAATTTCTCTGCCCGAGCTCTGCCACACACACACAGTGTAAATGTGTAAAACGTCATGCTCACAGCCTACTTTCTGCTATTCGGAACTAACACTAATGCGTTAAAATCATATCAATGTATTGGGGTGCCGACCACTGATTTAAATGGTACGGAATTGTTTCACGATATCAAAGATGTAATTTTTCTTCTGAAATGTAATTTTTCTTCTGGCCGATAAAAAGGGAGAAAGTCTTGATCTCACTCACAAAAGAAATACTATTGTATATTTTATCGTTGGGGTTAGAGGCTTACAAAACACTTGTGACGGCATTGAAAATTTTTTTGACTCTACCATTGTCCGTGGCTTCGTGTGATCGATCATTCAGTAAACTGAAATTGATAAAATCTTATCTCCGCACAACCATGAACCAAGACATTCTGTCAAATTTAGCTATACTATCTATCGAAAATGAAGTAGCAGCCTCACTCGACTACAATGATATTATTGCTGAATTTGCGGCAATCAAGGCCAAAAAAGTTATATTTTAAAAGTAATATTTTTTTGTCTTGCAAAAACACAAATAATGTTTTTTTCCGTTGTAACTGACAAACGAATCGATATGAAATACAATTCTTCAAACATATAAGCTTTTCATAATTAATAACCTATTTACCAGAGACCGTAATAGTAGGGAGTAAATAGGCAATCGGCTGATTTCTTGCGTCATATCCGTGTATGCATGTATATGTTGGTGGGAACGTAAATCCACAATCCAATATACACTCACATATATATATAATCCTAAATAAAAAATACATATTGACCTTTCATCCGACCCTGACATAAATATGTCTCCTGCAAGAAAGTGATAAAAAGGGATCGCAGCAGGTCAATTGGTTCCTTTTTTTTCTTGACCCTTCAGGGTGGATTTTCACTTTTCTACGAAAAGGTTTTCTTGTGATATACTTACTCCTTGTAAAATTCTGTATTATATTTTATATTATAAAATTAAATTTCTGTACATAAGTCCGAGTTAATTTAAAATTAATTAAAAAAGAATTGGAGTAAAAAATCCTTTTAAATGATATGCAACACCATAATAAAATTTTGGATATTTTTTTTTTAAATAATTATTTGTTCTTCATCATTAATTTTAAATTAATTACAAAATAATTATAATAAAATACATTTTTAAATGAACTGCAGCACCATGAATATAATTTTTGTAAATAAGCATTTTATTTTTTGTTAATCAATTTTATTTATTTTTTCACGATCCTGAATCTTATTTATTTTTTCACGATCCTGAATCTTAGACAGGTATCTTAAGTGGACAGTTGAATTTGTAGGGAATTAGGCAAACGGCGTATAAGCACCAGAAAAATTTTAGTAGTATGTAATTAGGCAAACGGCGTACGACGTAAATTTAGTGGCGCCATCTATGGGTCAAGTTTGTGTAAAATTGGGCAGCGCCATCTACCGTAATATTTTATACGCCCTCTATTGGCATAAAAGCAAACGATCATGCCAAAAATTATACTTGCCAGGATCATCGCCGTCTATGTTTTCTATATTTTCTGATATCTTGTCTATGTTTTCTATATTTTCTGATATCTTGCATTGGGTCCCATTAAGGGAAATATGCATGTAAAGAAAAGATCATGTAAAAATGAAACTTGCTAGGATCATCGTTTGCCTAATTACATACTACTAAAATTTTTCTGGTGCTTATACGCCGTTTGCCTAATTCCCTACAAATTCAACTGTCCACTTAAGATACCTGTCTAAGATTCAGGATCGTGAAAAAATAAATAAGATTCAGGATCGTGAAAAAATAAATAAAATTGATTAACAAAAAATAAAATGCTTATTTACAAAAATTATATTCATGGTGCTGCAGTTCATTTAAAAATGTATTTTATTATAATTATTTTGTAATTAATTTAAAATTAATGATGAAGAACAAATAATTATTTAAAAAAAAAATATCCAAAATTTTATTATGGTGTTGCATATCATTTAAAAGGATTTTTTACTCCAATTCTTTTTAATTAATTTTAAATTAACTCGGACTTATGTACAGAAATTTAATTTTATAATATAAAATATAATACAGAATTTTACAAGGAGTAAGTATATCACAAGAAAACCTTTTCGTAGAAAAGTGAAAATCCACCCTGAAGGGTCAAGAAAAAAAGGAACCAATTGACCTGCTGCGATCCCTTTTTATCACTTTCTTGCAGGAGACATATTTATGTCAGGGTCGGATGAAAGGTCAATATGTATTTTTTATTTAGGATTATATATATATGT